TTCCTGATAGTGTTTTACTAAGGAGGTGTGTTCTTTGGAGGGGCTGGATTAGGGGGCAGCTGCTTTAACAGGGATCTCTCTAACCCAGCCTTTTGTTCAGACACTTTCTGCAGAGGGGAATTAGAGTATATGGGGCAAAGTTTTTATTTATTCAGCTGCCCATAAGAACTTGATTGTAAATAAACCTGTGTTCTGCTTTTAAAACCCCACAATGTTCTGATTCATTTATTTGTGTGTTTGTGTGTGAGATCTTGTTCTGAATGAGCAAAGAGGGGAACCTGAAATGTGTTTTTCTGTGCTGTGTTTTCCTGATGAATTGTGGATTTCTGTTCAGCCGCATTGTGGGATTTGGCGTTGAACAGGAAAGAGGATAATGCTCTTAGCTTGAAGGTGGACATCCCACAGATACAACCTGGTCTTGCCCTGTCTCAAGAATACTGCCTTGAGACTGAAGGAAGCCTTACCACATTGAACAAGTGCCTCTGTCCTTGAAAGGTTGATGTATTCTTGGATGTTTTGGATAAATTACTGAATTGAGGAAATTGGTATCTGTATTTCAGACACTGCTGAAAATAGAAGGCTTTTTCTGCTGTGATGCTTTGACTGCTACCTATTAAGTTTTTAAGCCAGTAATAAGAGTTGCATGTCTCTTTAAAAAACACAAAAACCTTGTCAAAGATAATGCTCTGGTTCCTACTTCAGAGTAAGGAAGCAAAGCCTTCAGCTGTTTAATGTACAAATTTCATACATAACTAAGAGCCATCACTGACTGCCATCCTGTTCTCATAAGAAAAGCCTTCTGTGCAGCTCTTGGAAGTGAGAACTGTAGCAAAAAAGAAAAGATTCACGTTGGCATTCTGAAGCATTTCTAAAGGCAAGATACTTTTTCTTCTGCCTGTTGCTGTGGCGGAAGGTCCTTCTTGTAAAAGGCACCTACCAAGAGTCCAGGTGACCTTGGCTACTGCGGAAAAGCAGATCACTAAATGGCAAGTCAGCATGCTGAAAGATTAGTGGGAGATTAACATAATAAAAACTCTGCAGGCTCTGCTGAGGAGGATCAGAATAGGTTTATGATGTTTATAATTTAGGCTGCTATACTTGTGTTTTTCTACAACACGGACACAGACCTTACACGAAGGGCTTTGTTTTGCCTGTTGATGCTGTTGTGAAGTAGGTTAATAATACTCGAGGACAATGGCTAGCTAGCTAAGACCTTAAGTATTTTGGATTAAAATTCCTCAGGACCAAGGTATGTAGGAAATTCTGGTGACCAATTTTAGCTTTTTTTTTTTTTGCTATGGTTTATAGCAAAATATAGGTCATAGTTTATGCTATGCCTCCTTTACTGCTTCAACCTGCAGAGGGAAGAAAAGAAAACAAAGGTACCTGCTGTGCAGAGGTGGCTGTTGCACTGTTTCTCTGCTAAAGTTGGAGTTGCCCTTCAAGCAGTTTAGGGAGGGTGTGGGTGGGCATCTTTCTCCGGACATAAGGGTACATTAGGAAGCATGTGTTATGGAGAAGCTGCTTCCCAGCTCCCCTGGAGATGTTTGCAATAGTGCCATGTACCCACACCTCCTGGGCTCTCAGGAGTAGCAGGTATAACAGGAATGCTCATTCCTCTTCTGAAGGACTAATAATCCTGCAGTGGCAGCAGCACAAACTCTTAAGAAAACCAGCTCTCTCCTTTTTGCTTTTGCACTTGTGTGACTGAATAGAACATGTTGATTTTGTGGGTTAATTTCTGGGGTCTCTTCCCTACTTCCTATAACCAGTACCTGGCTTTCCTTCAGCAACATGGGCACATGTGGATTTCCATGTTTTAGGACTGCCTAGTTTGTATTTGCCAGAGTTGATTCAACAGAGTAGTGATTAAGCTCTCCAAATAATCCACCTCTAGTTAATAAAATGTTGCTGGAATTTGGAAAACACTGAAAGAGCTGAGGATCACTGGTTCTGTGTTCATTTTTTGGAATAATCTGTGTACTCAGGCCACTATATTCAGGCAAATGTTGGTGATTGTTTGCAAAAAGCAAGCTTGATTTGCAACTGCAACATTGCCTGAGATGGAGGGTGTTGTTCAGACTGGCAAGTGGAGAGGATATCATGTGCTCTTTCTAATCAAACTAACAGATGCAGCCCAGAGGAAAGCTATAGCTGTTTATGCAGCTTGCAAGCCAAAAATTACACACATTGTGCATAATATCAAGACCAAATTCTTGGCGGGGGGGGGGGCTGTTCTTGGGACATTCATGAACAGAAAAGCTAAATTGACTGAAATCTGTGTTCTTGTATCTTACATCTTGGATCTTGTGCTTCACTAAATTAACGAGGGGAGGTGTACTAGCTAGCAACATGCTGTTTTGGATCAGCATGCCAATGGGATGTTGGTGGAGCAATAATAGATAAACTGCTTAGTGATTATGAGAATAATACATGGTTCTCAATGTTTCACAGTCCTCCATAATGACCTCTATAGAGACTTGGTTTGGTGTTTTATAAACTCCCTTTTACATAAATGGCTCTTGTCTGTTCAGCTTCTTATCAGGCTGGATGGCTTGCAACCCTGGGAAGGAGAAGATAGAGAAAGAGCTTTAGAATAAAGCCGCTTTCAGTAACCATCCTGTTCTATGTAGGTCTGTAGTCTACGAAGCATGTGAACATGACATTGTAGACCTCTTCATTGACGATCTGAGCTTCCTTATGTAATGCTTTATGTTGCTGACTTAACCACTTTCCAGTTGAATCTTAGCCCAGGTACAATATTTGCTCTTGGAGTGGGATTAATTCTTGAAATCCTGGATGGACGCAACTAGAGACGTGCTTTCAGATCCCCTACAAATTGTCTTCCTTGTTTGCTAAGAGGTTAGTGATTTCCTCTGGTAGATGCGAAGAAGCATAGGGCACAGCTGCGTGGAGAATTCATCTTTCTTCAGTAGTTTAGCAGTTCACATCTTTGTCCCGTCGCAGCTCCTGTGGCATTTGGAACACAGCAAGGTATTTAATGTTATTTGCTGGTTTGTTTATTTGCGTCTACAGCATGATTAGGGTATCTGTTCAGCAGCAAATACTATTCTGGACTTGGAAAACCTACCTATACTTCATAAACATAGAAATTCTTAATATGTGTAAAGTCTGTCTGTAATCTCTATCTTACATTTTTTCCAGCTTTCTAAGGGAAGCATTTCCTTTTTCTACAGTTTGTTGTGTCCAAATAGGCCCTAGAAACTGTTTCTACTCTTGAAACAGTTTCAAAATGGGAAAGCAAGCAGAAAAATAGAATAGAAGCAAACTGCAAGGATGGTCATACAGTGTCAGACCAATGGTCTGTCTAACACAGTATATTCATTCACGCAGGTCCAATAGGGAGAAGTGTAAGAATAGGGCATGTGTAGCATTGTCCTTTCCTGATGCTGCTCCTCAGCTTCAGAGTCTTACAGGGTTAAGGTTGCACCTGGATCGTCCTGTCCAACATCTGCCAAAAGCCTTTTCCCTGTGAACGCATCTAATCCTGTGAATCAATCTGTACTGGTGATTTCCAGAGCCTTCTGCAGCAACCTACTGTACTCTTGCATCTTGTGTCATGTGGGGAGGTGCTTCCCTTTATTTTCAATTTGCTGTCTGATCACTTAAGTGGATGCTGCTATCTTATGACAAAGCGAAAAACTAATCTCTCTGCTTTGTGCCACTGAGGTTTTCTGGACATCTCTCTGGATATCTCTTGTGTCTTTTTTTTTTTTTTCCCCCTGAAGAATCTTACTCTGTCTGGTTTTTCGTTGGGTACAATCTGTTCCTTACCTCTGGTTATACATGTTACCTTTCTGGACAGGTAGCTGGACTGTTACGTTCTTAAAGTCCATTCTGTTTTGAGTTCAGCGATACCCTGCAAGTAATGGGTTGCATTTGGTTCTAATTTAGGAAAATACAGTAGGACCAATGAGTTCTCCTTTTGGGTTTGGTCTGACTCGTACCAATACATACCACCTTTGTAGGTCTTAGACTGAGTGTGCTGTATCCAAGTTGTGGATATGTGAGGGGTTCTGAAATGGCATAAATGGCATTCTCTGTTGTGTTCTTGATTTATTTCCTAATAACTTCTTTACTTATGTCAAGACATTTTTCCAAAGCAATACCAACTATAACTGTGCATGTCAGACTATAGTTGTGTTTGAGTGCAATACTTTTCACTTACCATTATAGAATATACGGTATTTCATCACCTATCCAGTCTGCATCATGAAGCACTCCTCCAGCTTAACATAGCTTTATTTTTGGGAATCCAGAATAGCTTTGTGTCTGTGGGCAGGCTTTTCGCTCCTTATCTAGGCTTCTTTCCATTCATTCCAGGATATGCTCAATAGCAAATGTCCCAGGACAGATGGCACTGCGCTGTTGTATACTTGCAATGGTAAAAAAAACCCAAACCAAACAAAATAAAACCAAACAAAACCCCCAAAGCAATCCAAACCCTGAAAGTAGCCAAAACCCATATGTATTGATATTCTTTATTTCTATATTTTATCCCATTATTAATGAGTGAAATGACCTTCCTTCTTATGACGATTTAGAGCTTCTGAAGACAAATCTTGAGGTACCTTTTGAAAATCTAAGTACCTTGTCTTTATCAGATTATCTTTATCTGTACTCTTATAGATTTCTTCACGAAGTACTCTCTACAAAGATCTGCAAAGACCAAGCTATCCCTTCCCCTCCAGATTTTTCTATTAGTCTACTAAATTTTTAATATGAATTAAAAATGAGTTCTTGGTCTTTTGTAATGTTTCTGAAGAGCTGTTTTTAAATAGATGTTGTTTTTTTTAAATGAGGAACTGCTAAAATGAAAAGAAACCCACCTTCTGTGCTGCACCCAAGTATCTATTGAAATAGTCTTTGATAAACTATACATGGGAATAGAGTGCTTTACCCCACCAAGTATAATTCTGCTTTTATCTCATCCACCTATTTTTTTCTGACATCTTTCCCAGGACATTTTGGGGCAGAAAAGCTTCATTCACCCACAGTCACATACCCATCTTTGACCATGAGTTGCCCTGAGTCTCAAAAAACGGGGACGAGTGGGAAGAATGCTAGTTCTCCTCATAAACAAGTTGTCTTCAAAAAAAGCACCCGTGACAAAGCTGTAAGTACCATAATAATGGCTTTACATAGGTATGAGTTTTACTTGTAGTCAGACTGGAGACTTACTAGAAAGCTCTTTCCGGTCCCGTTCTTTTTTTTTTTTTTTTCTGAATAAGGACCATGAACTGTATTTGGCACTAAGTTTGAGGAGATGATGTAAAAAGAGTTTATAGGGCAAGCTTCTTGTATGTTATAATACAAGAGGAAGGCAACTTGCTTCTCACTCCTCCTGGGTTGTATTCCTGCTGGTAAATGTTTAAAACAGAGCCGATTCATTGTCTTTCCAACCTGATGGCACCAAAAATCTTTGAATCTCTAGTTCTTTGTCCTATGCACAAATATTTATGTTGTACTTCTGGGAGTTGGTCTACATCAGGTCCTCAATTCTGATGTCCTGAAGCATGTGAATAATCCTCTTGAGTCTGGTGGGGATTGCATGTTTGCTGGAAAAAAAATAAATGTTCCATTTAAAATTGAATTGTTCTGATATCTACAAGACTTGTAGCTCTCTGTTGTGTATGTGTGTGTCCCCAACATACAACCAGCAACACTTTGTAGTTCAACCATGGCTGTCATCTCCCTACAGCTGACTATCTACCTGGGAAAGCGGGACTTCATTGACAACATAGGGAATGTGGAACCTGTAGGTAAGTCCACAAGGATTTGTGCTGCCCTTCCTGCTCTCTCAACCCTGATTATCCTCTGTTAATCTTTTTTATTTTTTCCTTTCTTTCAGATGGTGTTGTATTGGTGGATCCTGCAATTATCAAGGGGAAAAAAGGTTTGAGGGTTTATGCAACACGTGTTTCAGAGATTTAGTCCTCTTTTGAAGTGAGATGCTGAGATAGAAACTTTTTATTGTTTTAAGGGTACAAATGTAACTCTCTTCCCCACTGAATTGGCTTCAAGTAATGTATGTTCTTATATACGATATGAATACTTACTGGGTTATACAACAGTGTTGAAGTGGGTTTCCCTGACTCTATTTCACATCCCACCCTAGCTGCATTGTTAGCCTGCTGCATGCCTTACCTGTTATGTGCTTCTTTCCAGTGTATGTGTCCCTGACCTGTGCTTTTCGGTATGGCCAGGAAGACATTGATGTGATTGGCCTCACCTTCCGACGGGACCTGTTCTTCTCTAGGGTCCAAGTGTACCCACCTGCTGACAAGCTAGAGTCTCTCTCCCACTTGCAGGAATCTCTGCTAAAGAAGCTGGGGAAAAATGCTTATCCCTTTTTCTTTACAGTAAGTATCTCATAAAAACCTCTGACCCTCTTCTCCTTACCTGTCATTACCAGGCTGCTGAGATGACTCGGTGATGGACTGCAGACAGAGATTAATAGTGAATTTATATTATGTAAAGTTCCAATTTTGAGTGATAGGCAATGTACCAATTATTTTTTCTTACCATCCTAAGTAAAGAGCAAGAAGATTCTAACTGCATGTGAAAAGTGCTTTCCTTGAAAAGGCAAGGAAACATGCAATGGCTTTATGCTAGCAACAGCCCCATATATCCTTGTCTTCCCCATTCCTGAGGGTCTGGAATACTTTATACCATTGTCCCAGTGCTCACAGAGGAAGTGCCAAATCCTTTCTCTTTAAAAATTTTATGGATCAAACAAGCAGATGCAAAGCTCTTTACCAGATGTTGTCAACAAATAATTTGGCTCATTGCCAAATTCTGATTCTGACAGGATATGCTTCCAGTACTGTCAGTGACATGTCTGCCTTTGCATTCCCTAGGAAGATCCAGGTTTGAAAACCGCATGCTCTGATATAGCAACAAATAAGTCTTTGAATGATTCTGCTAAATGAGCTAGTACCTGCCATAATGTTATTAACCACTCAGATACAGTCTAGTGATCTTCAAACTGCTGGAGTCTCTAATGGGGTGTTAGCACTTGCTCACCATGAGCTACTCTGCAGCCTTCCCCGTTGATGTCTGGAGTGCCTGGCCCTGCCCAGGCCAGGAGCGAATGGATACTGGCTGGTGGCTGGCTCGCCTTTGTGGCCTTAGTTGTGTTTCTGACACAGAGACGCTTTGCTCAAACTTCAAGCCTATGTGAACAGTGAGTAATGCAGCTGTGATCTGTATTTATTATCTTGGATGAGGAGACAGTTGTTGCAAGTGGTGCCTCTAGGGCTCTGTTTGATTTTTATAGCAGGTGCTTCATGTGCCTGGACTTTTTTTACGTTTTCCCTCTCTCTCTTCCCCATCCCCTCCCTGCCGGCCCCCTTAGCTATTAAAATATTTTTGGATCAGAAGTACTTCATACAAGGCAAGATAAGGCTCAGTATATTAAGGCCTCTATCTTAGCCAGAACTTCAAAGGGTTACAGCATTACAGCCAGTGACCTGTTGTCTTCAGGACTGCTTTGTACCTTTTGTGAGCAATGTGTTAACTAGGGTATCTGAGTAAAATTGCTTTGGGGTATTTTTCTCTTCTTCCTCCCACAGTTTCCAGATTACCTGCCTTGTTCAGTCTGTCTGCAGCCTGCACCTCGTGATGTTGATAAGGTGAGACCAACGGGACACTTGTGCTTATCATGCTTGCGGAAAGTCAGATGGAAAAAGTCATGTGAATTTATTTGGCTACCTTGAGAGTAGAGTAAGGTGATACTGGATTTTACTGTGCTATGCCACAAATGTCAGGAACCCGACTTAAGAGCTACAAGTGTGTGTCACAGTGTTGGAATTTGTCCTCAGAATAAGAAAGGGAATCTAGTCAAATAGCAGCAAGACTACTAAATCTGCAATACTTGTAGTTTCCTTAAGGGTACCACATGATTTATGGGTTGGCTGCACATAAAATGATTGCAGCTGTTAGGCTACATGAGAGAAAAGGAGACTGAGTGCCTAAAATCTCATAGATCGCTATAAATAGCATGTGTTAAGACCTGCTTCTGAATTAAAACAAACGCAGAGGAGGGCTGGCTTGCACATGTGTGTAAACAAAACCCCTGGAATAAAATTCACCAGATGAGATGTTCTGCAAGGTTTCTGACACCATTTAAAATATTCTTTTTATACTTAACTAGATGCTTCTCTGAACAGCAGAGCTAGACTAACAGCTGGGCAAGGTGGGATGCAGGTTGTAGAATCCAATGCAACAAGGATAAGCTGTGTTTTCTGCTAAGGAATGATATTCTAGCAAAAATTCCCATATTGCCCTGTAGAGTTATCTTGGACTCACACAGATGTCCCATGGTGGTATAAACCTGTTAAAGCAAAGGTCAGCTTGGCCTGATCACTCCCACTCCTTAGATGTTGGGAAAGAAGGTTGACCCTGAGTCAGGCATTGGCATTACAAAGCCAATTCAGAAATTCAGTTCAGAAACCTAAGGTGGACTGGACAGCCTTGCAGGCTGGTCAGTCTTATAATCTGTAGCACGCTGTGACTTCTACAGCACTGCTCTTATAGAAAGCCTTTTAGGAGTAGGGATGTCATCTGTCAAAGGCTGGGAATTAAGCCTCGTTTATCAGAAGCAGCATGGAACAGGTGGATGCTGCCACACCAGTTGGCAGGGATCTCTATTACAATGGTAGGAAGCCAGAATAATTTGCAGTTGGCAGGAGTCTGCCAGTTTCTGGTGTACAGAAAGATATTTAAACATCTGCAGATGTTCTTGGTTTCTGACACTGGTTTCACAGCTGTCCTCTCTTTGGCAGAGCTGTGGGGTGGACTTTGAGGTGAAAGCTTTCTCAACAGACAATGTGGAAGAGAGAATTCATAAGAGGTAACAGAACATGTGTGTCTGTCTTCAGCTTTGCCCTTCCTAAAGGGGGTGGGTGGTCAAGTAATGCACCTTGGTTGCTTGTTCAGCTTTGCCCCACTTGTCAGTGGACTTCTTGGGTGTAAGCACACATGAATGCAGAAGTCCTGCCTCTGCCAAGCACAAAGTACCACCATGTTGTCCTCTGCTGCTTCCCAGGAACTCTGCACGTCTGCTGATCCGTAAGGTGCAATATGCTCCAGAAAAGCCAGGACCCCAACCTTGTGCGGAGACCACCTGGCAGTTCTTCATGTCCAACAAGCCGTTACACTTGAAAGCTTGCCTCAGTAAAGAGGTGAGGAGTTTGCCCCAGGGCTGTGGACATCATAGTATTGGCATGTCAATATGCATTTTGCTGCCAAAAGCAGCTACTTCCTGTGTTACTCAGATAGTCCCAGCTGAGACTGACTTGTCATAGCACTCAAGGGCTCTAATGTAATTTTTGTCAGTAGCTACTGTTAGGGGAGGATGAGACCCCATTACCAGATGCATTTGAGGCTAAATAAATCATTGAAGGAAGGGTCATGAATCACGGGGCAAGGTCACCTTGTGTTGTCTGGCCTCTGTGAGGAGATTTAGTCTAGGGGGACTAGAGGGGTTTAGGGCTTGGGAGAAGCCTCCTGGCTGGATTTCTGAGCATCAGATTCCTTCTAGGTGTACTACCATGGTGAGCCCATTCCAGTCACTATCATTGTCAACAACAGCACGGAGAAAACAGTGAAGAAGATCAAAGTCCAAGGTACGTTTTTACTGTTGCTTGGGATTCTTTGAGGGCAAGATGACTGAATGGTGAGAGGACTGAAAGAGAGCCAGAATTTAGTGCTTGCAACAGCTTAAGTAGGGAGTTTGGGACAAGTCAGGAGTTTATTCCTCCACCTTGTCTGCTGCTGTTTCTTTGCTGTTAATCAAGTGAAACACTGCAGCTTTTTTCCTGACTCTCATGGTTACTCTCATGGCTTAATTTCAGGCACCAGTATGTCTCCTCTAGTAAAGAGAAAGGGTCTGGCACCTGCAGGGGCAAGGCAGATGCTGTGGGGAAAAAATTCGCGTCTTTTGGGAGGCCAGTGGGAAGGGCTTCCCTGTTAATGTGATGCTCTTGCTGACTGTGAATATGCCTAGGTTGCATACAACTTTGCTTGGGGTTTCAGAAACATCTGGTGATGTGAGAAACAGCCGCTTTGCCAGGAATGGTGTAATTCCTCCTCAGGAAGCCGAGGGCAGGGGCTGAGTTTCGAGGTGTTTCAGTACTGTGCGTTTATTTGTGACACCACATGTTTTTTTCATGTGGAAGATACTTTGAGAGAGCAAGGATGAGAAAGAGAAGAGAAGGCAGAGGTGGAACAAAATTTCTGAGGTTTATACAAAACTTTATGGCAGAGAAGGCCAATTCAGTGCTGGTCTTGGATGTACTGTCTAGTGATTCCCAAATATTTTTAGGCTGACATACTTCTGTCAGGCTTAAAAAGACCTTGGTCCCCAGATTCTCTCCTCATCAGGGTTTCAGTCAGAATTACCTTATGTTTTGGTGTTTGATTGGAGAATATATGCCATTTATTATCACAGGCTCTTGACTGCAGTCTGCTTGATGATGGTGTCTCCTGAATGCAAATGCATGGGCTATAGATATGCAGGAGATACCAGTGACCAGAGATAAAAGTGGACATGCTTAGAGAAGAAAGAGGGAGATCTTTATAATGGAAAGAGCAAGCTCACAAGGGAAACTGTGGGTTACTGATTTTTTGTCGTCTCCAAATCAAGGCTGGGTGCCTTTCTGGGAAGATAGACTTTGGCCATTTGTGTGCTGTTGGTCTCTATCCACGCCAGGCTGTCTGACCTGGTGGTCCCTTCAGGCTCTAAATGGATGGGTTTTCCTGCTGTCCTCATCATGTCTTCCATTCCTGAGACTCGGGGGGCAGCCATGTTTCTGATGTGTATGCACAACTGATTGTCTGCTTTCTCCTTTCTCACTCAGTGGAACAGGTTGCCAATGTGGTTTTGTACTCCAGTGACTACTATACAAAAGTGGTAGCTGCTGAGGAAGCACAGTGAGTGAATGCTCTGCTTATCCCTTCTTGCTCCTTCACGCCCTTTTAGTTACCCTCCTCCTCAGTAATGGGAGGTACTCCTAGCTATAGTCTGGCAGTTGCCTGCTGTTACAGTGCTTTATCCTCTCTTCTTACCTCACGTGTGTGTCCGTGTGTCCCGCACCACCTGTACTCTCTGGATGCAGCTGGTCTCTCCTTTTTGCATAGCCAGCAGGGACCCTGCACCTTTTTTCAGAGAGTGAGGAGGTTGCAGAAGAAGTTTGAAGAGTAATTACCTACTAGAAAAACTTAGTAGGGGCTGTGGAAGGCTCCCTGTTGCTTGAAATCTTTAAATAAAGATGCAAGACTTTTCTGAAAGGTGCTGCTGTTTGAGTGGAAATCATGGATGCTCTAGCTTGAGGTCAGTCTTTTTCACACCATTTCATTTGGTTTCTTCTGGCCTTAGAAAGCCCATGAAAAGCTTGAGCCTCTTGACATTGTGGAGAACCAGTTGCTCTTTTGCCCTGCGCGGCATTGGCAGTGCAGTGTTGAAGTTTGCTTTGTGAGCAGGTATGGACACACCCAGACACTTTATATTTTTCTGGTGTTTTGCTCTGTAGCTTAGGGACATGTTTCCCATTGAGTATTGGTCTTCTCAACTAGGATTCATTTTGGAAGTCTGCAGCATAGTTTTGACCTACTTTGGAAGTCTGCCTTAATGTGAAATAAATCATTTTCTGCAAGTGCTTGTTCCTCTCTGCTGATTATAAAGGGAATTTTTTGACTAGTTTAGATGTAGACATCTGCATTGTAGACAACTAAATTTGGACAGATAAATTCCACTCCTTTTGGACAGCTTTGTAATCTGTTTTGAAATTCTCTTGGTTGGGTGTGTAACACAAATCAGAGTGTATCATTTTCCTCCTCACCTGTTTCTTATTTTCAGGGAAAAGGTGCAGCCAAACAGCAGCCTAACCAAGACACTGACACTTTTGCCCTTGCTAGCAAATAACCGGCAGACACGGGAAATAGCTCTGGATGGAAAGCTAAAGGATGAGGACACCAACTTGGCTTCTAGTACTATGTGAGTAGAGTTTTAAATGATTCCAGGTGGTGGAGGGTTATAAAGAAGAGGGGACAATGGAGGAGATATTTCTGTCAGGAGTTTGTACCTTTAAATGTGTGTCCAGATGGGTACATCTAAGTTGCATTACTTAACCTATCATATTCGTTCAGGGTAAATAATAATCATGGATCTGGAGAGGTATTAGCTGTCCCTGAGGCTTGTCTGCTCTATCACTTTCAGGAGAATAGATGTTCACCTAGTTCTTGCTCCAGCCATATATTGTTGCTATGTTGCTGCACCATCTAACACTGCTGTCTCTTTTCTCTTGTAGTATTAAGGATGGAATAGACAAGACAGTGATGGGGATTCTGGTTTCCTACAAGGTCAAAGTGAAGCTTACTGTTCCAGGGTAAGAGTAACAGACTTTTTGCTACATCTGCGTAGAATTGAGAGGGGAATGTGTGTTTCATTGACGAGTGGAGAGAGGGCAGGACAGTCCACCCCAAGAGAAAGGGCACGTGTTGTAGGACATCAGGCTCCCTCTAAAGCATAAACTGCCTGGAAATCAATCTTGGCCAATCCAAAGAAATTGTCCTGAGTCAGAGGGGTTGGATTACCTTCCTTAGATACTATATGACTTTATGGCTGAAGTATGAACCTCTGGTTTGCATTGCCATTTTTTGTTTCAAAGCCATAACTTATTTTATGAGAACTGAAGCAAAACTTTGTGTGAGCCTTTATGTTGGCGTTCTTGTTCTCCCAGAGCAGAAGGTAGAGGCATCTGCCTGAAAGTCATAAATACTGTAGCTCAGGTTCTGTACTGAGCCAGCTTTCTGGGAGAAGCTGAAGTTATCAACATGAGCTAGTTCCCAGCATACAGTGCAAAAGAGGACAAGGATAATAACTCTCAGTTGATGACAGTCACTGTTTACATTTGCATTTCATTCATCTATCCTTCTTTCTAGTATAAAAATGAGTCAATGATTTGCCTAAAATGTGATAAAATGACTGCTGCCTTATGTGGTCCTCTGATTGCCCTTGCCCTGTGGCTCTCAGAAAGGGAGCCATACCCAACGCTTGGTCAGGACTTCAAAAACTTAGGCTCTTTCTCCATGGGAAGGACATAAAAAATGAAAATTACCTTTCTTAAAAATAAGTTTATTTGGATGTTATGCTTTGTGACAAGTAGAGAAGAGTATATGAGGAAGGTGATTTCAATAGTCCACCAATAAAACAGCATTCAGTAGAGCACTGGAATGGAAAGGCACTAAATATGCTTGTGTTTTTCTCCTTGTTTTCTTCTTTAGCATGCTGGGAGACCTCACCTCCAGGTAAATGTCATCTTCTTTTTCAGACCATGCAGTCACAGTTGTTAATTCATCTTTTTACCTTCTTTCCTGTTCCCTTTCCCGCCTCCTTAAAGCTGATAGAAGTCTGTGCATTCAGCTGTGAAAATGAAGCAATTGGAAAAACATCTTTGGTTTTATGTACATGCAAGTATATTCAAGACATAACAAACCCAGTTTATTAAAGTGGACATGCCTGGGATATTTCTAGAGAAATCAGAGTTTAACTCCTTTTGAGGGGAAAATTATGATTAGAAAAAGATGAAAGAATGGGTGAAACTGGAGTTCAGGGCTTGGGTTGGCCTGAGGTGGGAAGGGGACTGAGCCAGGCGTGAACGGAACTGTGGATCTGATGCATTTTCTGTTCTCCCCAAAGTGAAGTGGGCACAGAGCTGCCGTTTCGTCTCATGCACCCCAAACCTGAGGAAAAGAACACAGCAGGTCAGTTATGCCTCGTTTTTGCCTGTCTTTGTTAACAGACTCAGGTGAAATCTTACCATTGCAAGGCTTACAGTGATTTGTTCTACAGGAAGCCTTTAGAGTCTACAAGCCTCCAGTATGGGGGCTGCTCTGTATGTATGTATATATATCTCTCAGTCTCAAGGCACAAAATAACAGGGAGGAGGTATGCTAATATGGGAGAAGGTGGACATAGGTCATGTTCCCCTTTTATTTTTCATCTGTGGAATCACAACTCAAAGCACAGGGGCTTAAGGAAGCACTGCACAGTTAAATCTTGTAACTACTGTGCAAAATGTCCTGAATGAAGCTGTCAGCAATTCCCAGCCAGATTCCAATATTGCAAACAAGAATCTGTCACAGAAAACACCTAAGACACATAAGCATTGTAAAAAGCAAAATACTTTTAAGCGAAGTTAAGAGGTGATAAAACTGTTCATGATTTTAGAGTCCCTGTTGATGTGGCATTGGCCATGGTCTGTGATGTAGGCTTTATGTTCAGTGGGTATCTGAGAGGAATGTCTCTTCAGAGTCAGGTCAGTATATGGAAGTGTGGGAACTTCAAAGCAGTGTAAGGAGCTAGCCTTCCCCAGGCATGTTGAGGCTTGGGATCAGATACCAAAACTGCAGGCTGTCTTGAGCATCTGTGTTCTCCTCCCACTTCCTCATGCCCTGGCTGACTCTGTTCTCTAATGGTGAACATACAGAAACTGCAAGGTGCTTGCACTAAATCAGAAGCTCCTGTACAGTGTCTGAAGCAGCTATTGAACACAAAACATTATGCCAGCATTTCAGTGTTGGGGCTGTTACAGATGAGTTGTCTTGTCCTGCCCTCTATATTTGGGCAGAGTTGCATGGGCTTCAAACAAAAACCCATGGCTGCTTCTGCGCTGCTTTTCTTTTTCTTTCTTTCTTTTTTCTTTGGGCCCAAACTTACCTAAGAACATGACCACTGGAGGATGATGGTGGAACCTGTGAGAAGAGTTATCCCAAGACAGGTGCTTTGTTCTATGCTGGAACCATTAGAAAGGGGTGACTTGAGTCCTTATTGTATGAAATTGTTGGAGGAATTAAGTGTGAGTGATGAGAAGATGGACTCCATGCTCGGTTGCTCTGGTTGGGAATCAGTGTTTGCTAATTATGGATGTGCTGGAGCGGGTAAAGGTTCTTCACTCCTGTAAGAATTGCACTGTAGGAAACTCATGTTCCCTGGGAAAACCCCTGTGGTGAGCGGTGCCAGCACGGCCTCTTAGCAGAGACATAGAACATGTTCATAGAAGTTTTTTGTGCACATTACACCCCCATCAGAGTAGCACAGTGAGTCTAGGAAGGACCTTCAGGACAAATCCACAAGGCCTATTCCCCTCTTGCCTCCTTTCTGCTGTGGCTGCAAAGGAGACAGCCACGTCACTGAGGAGTAGCGTGGGACACCCCACAGCAGCATGCAACCCAAAGCTTCCTCTAGCTGTCCTATGAGGTGGAAATTGGGTCCTCAGGGTTGGTGCATAGGACTAATAAGGTTGGATCACCTTGGTGAAGCTGCTGTGAAGCAAATGCTTTTGTTGGCATAGCTGTGCTCATGCTGTGGGTTTCCCTTTCATGCTGCAGGCCAGCAAAGCTCTGCTAGCACAACACTTGACATTGTTGCACTCTTGATCATGATCGCAAATGGGTGACTCTGTGGGAGAGTTGCTTTGGCAAGGGTCTTCTGTCTCTTCTGGTAGCTTGTACATACTGAAGCATTTCCCTCAGACTTGCCTGCAGCAATCCCCTTGCCCAGGAACTTGGTGAAGTGCTGGGACTGGCACTAGTGGCCCCAGGAGCAGTGGCTGGTGAGGGCCATCTAGTGTCGGTGGGGAGCCTGGCAGGGCAGAGGTGCTGGTCGGGCAGCTCAGGGTTGCAAAATCTGGAGCTTTCATGGGTACAGAGAAAAGCTTGAAAACTTCAAAGAAGGATCGTCCAAAGGCTTAGGCAACTGTAAAGAATGTTACATTTTTAGAATGGTGTGAATTCTTGTACATGATATTTTTTGGTGTTAACAATGCTGCAACCCCCTTTCTATTACTTATGCTTCAGGCAGATTATTCTGGTAGAAGCATTTGTAATATGAGGAAAAAATGGAAGTCGGTCAGCTCTCCCTTCTAAGATCATTTCAAAGGATGGCTGATATACTCCTTTATATAGTATTCTCAAAAGGATGTGGGCAGAAGACTTTACAAGGGAAATGGAGAACTGCAATATTTCTCAGATCACTTCCCCCAACACGCCCTCTTACCAAAGGCACAGCCCACGTATTGTTTGCTACATCAAAGTCTTCTAGGAGCTCGCAGTCAGAAGACAGCTATGGTTCACTTATTTTGTGCAGATGGAAATTGCGAGTTTCTTACAAACTGAAAAAAATACAGGTAGTTTCAGGAGCTTATCCCATGGGAGAGCCCTACAAATGGTTAACTTGAGAAATAAATGCTTTCTCTTAAAAAAAAGATACTGTAACAGAACAGAAAATTCCTCTGAAGCCTGCATAGCTGACTTGAAAACTGTTCCGGAATATGGTGTCTGAGCTCATTACAGGGAATAAAACAGTCTCCCATATGAAGCTGGTAAACTAAAACTCTTTCCGGCTTTATTGGCTGGTAGTTTTCCATGCACTGTGCCTAATCACTCTTCACAGTTACAAGTTCATGCTTTTAAAATTTTTATTCTACCACCTTAGTTCATAAACTCTTAGAAATAAAATGTGTTTCATTAGTGACATACCATCTAACTTGGAATCAAGCAAATCAAGACTTAATTGCAGAGATGGAGCTTCAACAAACAGTGTTTAGACTCTCAAAGGCCCCAAAAGATGGAATTTTTCTTTGTTGGCTTGTTCGGCAGCCTCTGCAGTGGGTGTAGGCAGGGGTGCACGCACAGGGAATTTTGAGATCACTCCTTATCTTCTTTTTCCGTTCCCTTTTGTTGTTACTGATGAGTCAGTAGTAACCAGTTTGCCTATTGCACCTCCCTGCTTACTTGACTGGACACAGCTGAGAAAAAGGAAAGAAGTCAAAGCAACCATCTTACAGAGTCAAAGCTAAAGTGGGATTAAAAAAATGCCATGTATTATGATTTATTCCTTGCAGTGGGGCAATATCCTTTTCCCTTCTCTAGCCAAGGTGATTTATGGCAAAAGTAAATAACATGTGTAGCGTCAGTATATTGAATCATGCAGGGCTGATTTGAGTGTAGAGAGCGTCAGAAAGACAAGCTTCTGAAGAACATAGTTTAATTTTTTTTAGGGCCAGACTGGCGCAAGGGTGATCAACTGCTGTGTGCTTTATTTCACAGCAGATTGCTTTGCCCTTTTTATTTGTCTGTAAGCAAGCTCTGAGGCATGCATTGTTCAGCAAAAAGCAGGTCTGTTGGAGTGCATGGCTATTGCAGATTGCTTGATCTTTCTTTTCTGTGCCTGGAGGAGACAGAAAAGGAATGGCTTGCTACCTTTCCTTTCCCATGTTTATTTATAGCTTCCTTGTGTTGGACTTCTTGTAGGCCAGCATTTGCATGTTTCATGTGTGCTGGTTTTGCAACTGTTTTTGGACCCATGTGGTTCACAGGTGGTTATTTTTAGGCAAAGCAGCTCTTGTCGCATTGGCAGTCTGTCTTTTCCGTCTGTTGACAAAAATGTATAGAGATCTGTTTCTTTTAAAGATAGATTCAAACTGGGCTGTGTCTCATTGTGCTTCTAAGACCTTTCCTGGTCAGCAGTTAGCCCAGAAGCCTCCTGCTGGGTTTTTCTCAAGGCTGTGGTCTCAGCGTGAGTTCTTTGGTCTGGGGTTTTCCTGCCCTTCTCCTGATGTTTTACATTTTGTGGTGGGCCTGTGTCTTGGACACCGGTTTTTGTTTTGGCTGTTGTTCAACAAATGGTCATTTATCTGCTCCCTTGTTAAACTTGCATGAAAGGGCTGGTTTCAAGAAACCTATAAATGCTTTGTCCCTTTAATAGCAAAGCTATACCTGCCCTGTATTGGTATTGTCACTTTCAGAAATTAGTGAATTTTTAAAGCACTTGATTGAATGTCTTGAAAAATAACACAGCCTACTTCCCCCCCCCAAAGTTAAGAGAGGTTAAAAGCAAGCTTATAATGAAAATTACCATATGCCACAACTTTAATTATATGGAATCGTTTCTGTGGCTGCATAATAAAAGCTTACAGAAAACCCTCTGCAGAGAGTATGATGACATTCTGGAGCCTCACAGATCCTTGAACACAGCCCCCTCCCATCCCCACCCTCAAAACAATTGCTAGCCTGCTAGTTAAAAAAAGTTCATTTTCAGGTTCCTGATAATTTTTCAATGTTATAATTTCAAATAAGCCACAGGACAGCAAGAGAACTATGTGGAGTGGGCCTAATTCCTGCTAGGGTTCAAATGTAGCCATTTAACAAGCATATGGGATGTAGTATAGTGGCCTGAAGGTAAAGTAGTGCATCTTTGAATGTAATCTTACATCTGAGGTATATGTGATGAGCATTACTCTACTGTCACACTACCTATGTATTGATTCAGTGATCACTTATCTGACAGTAAAGTATATGTCCAACTGAAACAATACCTATTTTCCCCCCTCAACCCATTTTGTAAAATTTGCTTCAAACCACGTTGGTGGCTATCTCACTCAGCTTCACCCACATCATTGATGTCACTGTTCCCATAGTAATGAATGTACTTCAAAGAGGGTTAAAAGAGCAGACTATTTAAGAATAAAAATTGGAGGAAAAATGAAATTAGAACGATGCTTTATGTGTTGGAAATTTTTAAAGTTCTAAATATTTAATTTTAAATCCATTCCAATCAAGCATGAATGCCCTGAGACTCCAGACTTCATCTTGACTTCTGTGAGTAGAGGAAACCATCCTTTCCGAGTCTGGATAGACACCGTCATTAATGTCTTTTCATGATCCATCCTTTAAGGCATTTTGGCTAGAGTGGCCCTATTTGGCACACTTTTAATGCTGACTTTTCCAGCAGTGCTAGTTGCCACTTCTTGCCCTTGTTTTCAGTGTGTTTTGTGGGTTGGAATTCTCCAGGTAGTGAGTTACCCAGTTACCCAGTCACTGAAGCATCCCAGATCCCTGACAACTTCTGTAGAACGATGGCCTAGGTGTGCTTTGCTCCCTGACTTAAACTCATGAGAAGTTAGCCAGTGAAGCAACTGTTACTTGCTAAAGCTAAAGTAACTGTGAGAACAAAAAAAATCCCTGTCCCCATTTAATCACTGCAATACAGTCTGTTCTGCTTATTTTAGGCTGTGCTGAAACAGCTTCCAAGGAATCCTGCTAGCAAGCAGGATTTGTTACAGTGTGGTTAGCAAAGATCCCATTAAAGAAACAAAAGTGCCAAAGGTCTCAGGATTATATTTAGGCAAGGATGAAATCAGGAGTATTGCCTCAAGTGCATAAACTATCTAATGAGACTAGCTAGGCCTTTCTGTATTCTGACCTTGTTTGATTTTAATACCTTCATGTTTATTGAACAAGAACATTGTCTTCTCATCAGCTGACTACTCACATTACAGTGACAGACCAATTAAGACTAACATCATGTCATGCAAGCACTGTCATCTCTGAGTAGAAGTGTGTGCACAGATGTCTCTCACAGCTGTGACTGCTAGCAAGCATAAATGGGAAAATCTGTCTTTGTTTCTCAGCCCTTCTGATGCATTGGGCAACGTTGCTAGAGTGCTTTTCCATTTGGGAGATGAAGTTTTGCTTCATCAGGTGCATGTATGCACTTTTTGAGACTTTCTGGAATTCTCCTTGTATTGCTGTAAATCCTACTGCTTGTCACGTGGTCCTGTCAGTTTATTAATTTTTGCTGCTTTTAGCATCCACTGTTCTAGCTACTTGGTGTGTCTTTTTTCCTCCTTTACTACATGCTGACGACTGCAGGGAAGAATGGGTAAGTTTCTTTTAATGATATTTCACATTCTAGCTGCAGTTGTGCATTGACTCTTGGAAGACTCCTCAAAATTGTACAAAAAAATCCACAGGGTTCACAGAGTACAAGCTTAAAGCCAAAGTAAGTTACTGTGGCTTCACAAATTACTGCTATCAGTTGAACAGCAATGACTGACCATGTGATGAAACTAGTTTTAGAGAACATGTTTTGCCTCACAGTTGGAGGGAGGGATGTGTTTGTGATCAGCTGATGCTCTGTAGCTCTAAGTTTCAGGAACTCAATAGGTTTGACCATGTGTCTCTTTTTTAGTACAGAAGGAATAAGGATGAAAGTTTCATGTTTTATTTCTAGACAAAGACCCTTTCAGGCTGCAGACTATTCAGCTAGCTGATAAATATTTAGCTGGAATGGACATGATTCAGTACAGATGAAAACCTCCTCAGTTTGTGTCCTGACTTGCTCAATCAACTGCTTTTCATACTAGCTAGAATACCACCAATGAAGATGATGCCTGTGGGAATGTGATCCAAATCCCTTTGAAGACAAAGGAAACATTACTAGAGTCTGCTCAGGCTTCTCCTTTTCCTCCTATATGTTGACTTTAGTGTGCTGGTATAAAAAAATTGCTAACATAATTTTGAAAGACCTGTGTTTCTTCCATTGCAGTGAAGCAGAGCTGGTATTCGAGGAGTTTGCTCGTCAACAGCTGAAAGATATGCTTGATGATGAAGACAAGAATATGCCTTCAACTGATGAGTGACTAGAAGAACAAGCTGCCAGAGAAGCTACGTAGTCTGGCATCAATTAGAAATCTAGGGCCTAGGTTTCTAGTAAACTGCATGTTCTCAGTGCATGCATGGTCTTTCAGGGATCAACCCTGAGATCAGTGGACACAAAATCATGGATCTCTATGGCTTATTAAAAGTTTTGGCTCTAGAAGAACGTAGCAAACTCAAAACCTGATGCTTACTTGAGCTATTGGAGGAGGACAGGAAGGCTGCCATGCCATGACTTCTGCTTTCAGGACTACCTAATAAAAAGATTGGTTGCTATCACCACTGATCAGAGCTTAAATGATGGTTTGTGCAGCCTGCCTAGACTTACTCGATGTCAAAGAGCCTCTGACTTTGAAATGCTAGTGAACCAAGTCCTAGTCTGAAAGGCTGGCTTGCAGCCTTTGATGATCCACTGAAGTTTCTCAGCAGACTGTACAAAACTGATTTTATTTCCTTTTGGTTGCTTTTGTGTATATGCTTTACCAAACTCATCTAGTGAATGTTCTCAGTGCTTGCACTGTCCCCATGTGGCTTACATCCACTTTCTGTACCATTAAATGTCTTTTAAGTCATCTTCCACAGTGGCTATAATGCTGAGATACAATGTTAGCTTTCTAGCAATATTAACTACGTTATTAAAGATGAGAAATGTGCACTGTCCATGAATTCCTTAACAAAGCTCCCTATATACAACCCCAAACACAGAACTGCTAGTCCAGATGATCCTATATTTAATCTAGTTTCCTGTATGCAACAGTGCTTCAAAAGACAGTGCAGTAAAATTGAGGAAATTATGGGGCAGCCTGCCCTGAGGAGCCTTTTCCAACATCCATCTGCCAGAGGTCGGTTTATGCTTTAAGATATGAGATTGTGTTCTGCAAACTTTGTTCTCTCTTGTTGATCTGGATATTCTCTTTATCCATGTAAATGTCTAATCCTTTCCTGAATCTTACTTATATTTTGGCTGAAGTGAGTTGCATCAGCTAATTACATTTTGCATGTAAAATGGCTGGTGTTTTCTTTTGTTCATTTTTGCTCTAAATTTGCTTTTCAATGTCTCTGGTTTACATTCTCCTGGGAAGTCTGAATGCAGGGCCTACATTTATTAATGTAAACTTCTGTTTCCCACCCCATGCACCAGAAAATGGAGTTAAGAGCTTCCCACTTATATCTTAGTTAAAAATGATGTGCTTTTAACAGAGAAGAAAATGAGGGAGACATTTTTGAGATGTCCGTTTCCTCCCAGTGGGAGCGGGACTCCTGGTGAAAGCCTGCTGGAAGCATGTTGCACTTCCATCCTGCTTCACGCTGCAGAGGCTGTGCAAACTGAGCTTGCCCGTTCTCTGGCTTAGGTTACTATTAGTAAGTGTAACAAGCCAAGACAGTGTGCTTTGGAGGAAAGCGTGGGCTGTGCTCTGGCATTTCTGCAGAATTGTTCTATATACAGGCATTGTTTTTTGAGCAGAGGCTTGCTCGTTTGTTTTTTCTCATTGACACCATCACGGCTACAAGTCCTACTTTTACAGATGGTCCGAAGGCTTTAACCGAACAGCTTTATATGTGGCCTCTAACACTTAAAAATAGGTTGGGTTAAAAGTAAAACCTTCTCCTGTTTTGCTTCTGTAAACTGATCGTGATTAAGATGCTAAAAGCAGTTAATTAAGACCACAGCTGATTTCACAGTTCCACCAGTGCTCTTGCCTAATACCACCTGTCAGTGTGTTTTGGCTCCATTAGTCACAGCTGTCTTACCTTAGACAAAATTGCGAGAGGCAGTATGTTTGCTCTGCTCTTTCTAAGCATTGTGTGTTTTGCTGCTAAAGAAACTCTGTGGCCATTTTCAGGTGTTCATGGTCAGTATAATTTCTGTGTGATTTCAGCTTTGGGGTTGGGGGAGGGTTAGGCATTTGCACCTGGATTTCTGGGAAGGCTTTTCTAATGATTGCCCTAGTATTTTTATTACTAATTTTTCTGATGGCTTGAGAAGAGCATACTGATACAGTAAGGTTGAGCACATTGCTGGTAGTGAATATGTTGGTCTTGGAGAGCTGGTATCCAGGAAATCCTTTAAAGATGCTAAGAGGAGGAGGGGGACAGCATGTGACAATATTCCGGTTTTGCTTCAAAGTGCAGCTTCCTCCACCAAGGTGTTTCCTTCAGGGTTCCTGGCTGCTGGACCTGTAAGTATGGGACTAGCAAACTTAAAGGCCTGATTCTTTTTTTTTTCTTCTTGTATGTCAACCTTGTGAGGCACCTCTGCCACTGTGTGACTTTCCTCTCAAATTCATCTGTGGCAATGACTTCTGTAAGCTGTGTAACAAAATCATAGTGCACTCTGCTGCTGTGCAATGGGGAGGAGTTGAAATGGTTATTAAATCTGTTCTTTTGCCTGGCCTTAGGAAAGCACTTTCAGACATTGTCTGTTTGTTTAGCCCATGCTGGATGTTTGTTCATTTACTCAGAGACCAAGGGCTTTCTGCTGGTTCCTTCAGCTCCCATCCTGCAGACCAGGCTGGACTTCTCTTCTTTTGCCCTTCAGTCAGCAGGTGCTGACCTCTGTCAGCAGAAAAGAGGTCTCTAGCTAGAACTGTTTGGCTTTTCTCTTTCCTTTCTTCTGGTTCTGATGTTATGTTGATCTTCCAAGTCAGACCTGTAGCCTGCTACTCGTATTTACAGCTGGCAGAGAGCAATCCAATTTCCTGACCCTGTGCCTTTGATGTGGTGGGACTCCATTTATAGAAAGCCTGCCAGCTCCAGGAGAAGGGATGCGCTGGGGTGTAGCGATAGCATCTCTGAAACTGCTGCTTTTGAGCACAGCTTTTATCAAATATGTGGCCTCTGTGCTTCAGCTGTCTGGTGATGCGACTGGTTTGGTGTGACAAATGCTTTCCCCTCTTACATCTTCATGAAATCCCAGCTGAAACAATCTGTACTGTCCTGCAGCTGCAGCTAATATGGGGCATTAGAGAAACAAGTGCTTTGGGGCTGAGTTAACCTCATGCTAATGGAGCCCATGAGGAATGGTGTGGGGAAAGGTTGAGTCAGGCAAGAGTGTTTCTGTACTGAAAAAGTGGTGTTTGGCAGCAGGAGCCTGCTTTGGTGCTGAGAGAGCAGCAAGCCCTGTATGTGACTGAAAGGATGTGTAAGATGGAGCAGGTGCGAAGTACCTTTTTGTGCAGGAGGTTGGTACAGCAGGTCTTACCTAGGGCGAGGAGGATTTATCCCCAGAACTTTATTAAATCCGGTGGAACAGTGGGAGTGCTGGAACCAACCACAAGAATGGGGGCTGAGATTCTGCCTTTTGGGCTCACCTATTCAGAGAGGTCTGAGCTGAAACCCTTTTTTCTGGCTCCAAACAGCCACGGGGGTGCTTTGGCCCGGCAGGGGCCAGTGTGAACGATGCTCGGGTGGGAGGGCTTCTGTCGGTTCGCAACGCGTGGTGTGGGGGGCTGTGGGCCG